TTTTTTTTTTCTTTTTGTGTTACTCAGTGTTTGGTATTTTGTATATTATTTTTGCAGGGAGCTGGTAAGTCGCCTACAGGAGCGAAATGTTCAGGTTTTCCTAATATCTGGTGGCTTTAGGAGTATTGTAGAGCATGTTGCTTCAAAGCTCAATATCCCAGGAACCAATGTATTTGCCAATAGGCTGAAATTCTACTTTAACGGTAAGATGTTAATGGTAACATACTCCCTTTCTTAGCAGTTCTGTTATTCAGTATTCTGGGTAATGTCTGTTGGAATGTAACTTAAAGTCACATCAGAGTTAAATATTGAGATGAATGGTTCTCTTAATTGATGTCTTTTGCCCTTTGGTACCCTTTGCTCAGCAAAATAGACTTAGGTCATCACCTGTCCTAGCTTTATTATCTATAACATCACCTGTCTGTACATAAATGTCTGCATTTAGTGAAACATTAATTCCTATGAAGTCCCCTATGACTTACTTTGCTGTATGTTATATTTCAACTTTATGGGAGCTTCTATGCATTTGAAGCAATTTAGACTCAAGAAGGAGACTTGGCTGGGCACGGTGGCTCTGGGAGCCTGAGGCGGGAGGATCACTTGAGGTCAGGAGTTCAAGACCAGCCTGGCCAACACAGTGAAACCCCAACTCTGCTAAAAAAAAAAAATACAAAAATTAGCTGGGCGTGGTGGCGCATGTCTGTAGTCCCAGCTACTTGGGAGGCTGAGGCAGGAGAATCACATGAAGCTGCGTGAGCTGAGATCATGTCACTTCACTCCAGCCTGGGTGACAGAGTGAGACTTTGTCTTAAAAGCAAAAAAAAAAAAAAAAAGACAAGACAGAGACTTTAAAAGGGAGACTTTTGTTAACGGATTACTGAACTACAGCCCTTGGGGAAGCCTCCTGTACCCTCTCTGGTCCATAGCGTTGCCACAGCTGTTATGTTATCTCAGATCTCCAGTTATATCAAGGGGTGACTGATAGTGATTTTTTTTTTTTTTTTTTTTTTTTTTTTTTTTTTTTTTTGAGACAGAGTACAGTGGCTCGATCTCGGCTCACTGCAACCTCTGCCACCTGGGTTCAAGCGATTCTCCTGCCTCAGACTCCTGAGTAGCTGGGATTACAGGTGCCCACCACCACACCTGGCTAATTTTTGTATTTTTTTTAGTAGAGTCGGGGTTTCACCATGTTGGTCAGGCTGGTCTCAAACTCCTGGCCTCAGATGATCCACCTGCCTCGGCCTCCCAAAGTATTGGGATTACAGGCATGAGCCACCGCATGTTAATAGAACATTCTTGAGTGGTCTAGAGATAGAGATCATTGAAAAAAGAAGTCAAGAATGAGTGTGGTAATTACTGTAACAACAGAAATAATTGATCAAAAATAAGCTGGAATTTCCTCTTGGGTGACATAATATATTAACATTTTAAATTTAATATATTAAGACTGGGTGTGGAGGCTCACGCCTGTAATCCCAGAACTTTGAGAGGCCGAGGCAGGCTGATCATCTGTGGTCAGGAGTTCGAGACCAGCCTGGCCAACATGGCAAAACCCCATTTCTACTAAAAATACAAAACTTAGCCAGCATGGTGGCATGCGCCTGTAATCCCAGCTACTTGGGAGGCTGAGACACGAGAATGGTTTGAACCTGGGAGGCGGATATTGCAGTAAGCGGAGATCATGCCATTGCACTCCAGCCTGGGCAACAGAGTGAGATGCTGTCTCAAAAATAAATAAATTATTAATTAATTTGATATATCACTATTGTATGGTGTTCTGCTACCTCAACAAAGTTTGAGAATTACTGGAAGCTTAAAGGATACAACAAATTCACCCCTAGGTATTTATGACCTAATAGAGGTCATCTCTACAATTGATATTTGTAATTTAAAAGCAAAGGTTGGCTGGGTGTGGTGGCTCACACCTGTAATCCCAGCACTTTGGGAGGCCGAGGCAGGAGAATCACATGAGCCTAGGAGTTCCAGACCAACCTGGGCAACATGCCAAGATCCCATTTCTATAATCATAAAAGGAAAAAAAGCCGGGCGCGGTGGCTCAAGCCTGTAATCCCAGCACTTTGGGAGGCGGAGACGGGCGGATCACGAGGTCAGGAGTTCGAGACCATCCTGGCTAACACGGTGAAACCCTGTCTCTACTAAAAAAATACAAAAAGCTAGCCGGGCGAGGTGGCGGGCGCCTGTAGTCCCAGCTACTCGGGAGGCTGAGGCAGGAGAATGGCGTAAACCCGGGAGGCGGAGCTTGCAGTGAGCCGCCACCGCACTCCAGCCCAGGCAACAGGCGAGACTCTGTCTCAAAAAAAAAAAAAAAAAAAAAAGGAAAAAAGTAAAGCTTGTTAATTCCCAGGAACAGGTGTGGAGCTCCAGGCTGTGCGACTTTACCCAGGGCCATTTTTAGCCTTCTCAGTGACATTTAAGTGAAGATATCATCTATGCAGAAAGCTGTCACTGGTAAGATACTTCTGTGGGTCTTTAACCTTGTTTTTACTGCTCTTTTAAGGTGAATATGCAGGTTTTGATGAGACACAGCCAACAGCTGAATCTGGTGGAAAAGGAAAAGTGATTAAACTTTTAAAGGAAAAATTTCATTTTAAGAAAATAATCATGATTGGAGATGGTGCCACAGATATGGAAGCCTGTCCTCCTGCTGTATGTATTAAGGATGCTAATATTTTTGCAGGTTGTACTTTTGTTTTTTTAATATATTTATTTTTATTTCTTTTTTTTTTTTTTTTGAGACGGAGTTTCGCCCTTGTTGCCCAGGTTGGAGTGCAGTGGCATGATCTCAGCTCACTGCAATATCTGCCTCCCAGTTCAAACCATTCTGGTATCTCAGCCTCCCAAGTAGCTGGGATTACAGGCACACACCACCATGCCGGCTAAGTTTTGTATTTTTAGGAGAGACGGGGTTTCGTCACATTGGCCAGGCTGGTCTTGAGCTCCTGACCTCAGGTGATCTGCCTGCCTTGGCCTCCCAAAGTGCTGGGATTACAGGCATGAGCCACCACGCTCGGCCATACTTTTGTTTTCACAGCTGATTTATCCTATAATCCCAACACTTTGGGAGGTCAAGGCAGGCAGATCACTTGAGCACAGGAGTTTGAGACCAGCCTGGGCAACATAGTGAGACCTCATCTCTACAAAATAAATAAATAAAATAAAATAAAATAAAAACAGCTGATTTAGAACTATGTAAGATTTAAAACAGGAGTTAAACAAAAACAACTCTGATTACAAGATAAAAATGAAATAATAAAAAATTCAATCTTGTTTTGTCAACTTTATGCAAACCCAAGAAAAGTTACGAATAAGGAACTAAAAACCTTTTAAAACTTTTAACAATGCCTTATCCCTGTAGTATGGGCACCATCTTTTAGCCTAGGTGTGTGCTCAATAGGTTGGTTTCATTTCCCCAAATAATACCATCAACAACTCATAACCGAGATTTTAACATCATTTGATACTTTATATACTAGTTCCTCATACGTTACCTCATTTAATCCTCATAGCAGCCCTGTGAAGTCAAATATTATGGTTTGTTTTGTTTTGTTTTTCTTAGAGTCTCACTCTGTCACCCAGGCTGGAGTGCAGTGGTGTGCTCTCAGCTCACTGCAACCTCCGCCCTCTGGGTTCAAAGGATTCTCCCAACTTAGCCCCCCAAGTAGCTGGTACCACAGACGCATTCCGCCACACCCAGCTAAGATTTTGTGTTTTTGGCAGAGGCAGAGTTTCACCATATTGCCCAGGCTGATCTCGAACTCCTGAGCTCAAGCAATCTCCTCTGCCTTGGCCTCCCAAAGTGCTGATATCACAGGTGTGAACCACCATGCCTGGCCAAATATTGTGTTCTTCTTACTGATAGGGGAACTGAGGCTTGCAGAGATTATATGATTTACCTGTAACATATCAGAGCATTTTCTTTTTATTTACTTATTTATTATTTTTTGGACACAGGGTCTTGCTATGTTGCCCAGGCTGAAGTGCAGTGGTGCAATCATAGCTTATCACAGCCCTGAACTTCTGGGCTCAAAGGATCCTCCCACCTCAGCCTCCTGGGTAGCTGGGATTACAGGTGTGCGCCACTGCATCCCACACCACCACGGCATTTTATTCCTCTGAACTAACTTCATTTTCCGAGACTAGCAGAGGTTTTGTTTATTTTTTGGGGTCTTGCTCTGTCACCCAGGCCAGAGTACAGTGGCGCAATCTTAGCTCATTGCAGCCTCGACCTCCCAGACTGAAGCAATCTTCCCATCTCAGCCTCCTGAGTAGCCAGGACTACAGGCGCATGCCACCACACCTATCTAATTTTGTTTATGTTTTGTAGAGAAGAGGTCAACTATGTTGCCCAGGCTAATCTTGAATCCTGGCTTAAGCGATCTTCCTGCCTTGGCCTGCCAGAGTGCTGGGATTATAGGTGTGAGCCAACATGCCCGGCCAGGGATTTTATCTCTAAGCATTTTAAAATCAATGCACGCATGTGCGCTCTTGCGCGCGCTCTCTCTCTCTCTCTCTCCATATATATATATATATACACATATATATATATATATAAATAAAATAAAATGCTATATATAGCAAGTGTCGTGAATCTCAAATGGGTCCATTTCATGTAGGGCTTTGCCTTTGTCATGTCATTCTAATGTAAGAAAAACTACACTAAAATATAGTGTGGCCAGGCGCGGTGGCTCACGCCTGTAATCCCAGCACTCTGGAAGGCTGAGGCAGGCAGATCACCTGAGGCCAGGAGTTTGAGACCGGCCTGGGCAACATGGTGAAACCCCATCTCTACAAAAAATACAAAAAAATTAGCTGGGCGTGGTGATGGGTGCCTATCATTGCAGCTACTCAGGAGGCTGAGGCATGAGAATCACTCAAACCCAGAAGGTGGAGGTTGCAGTGAGCCGAGATTGCGTGACTGTGCTCCAGCCTGGATGACAGAGTGAGACTCCATCTTAAAAATATATATATATAGTGCTGAAGTTTTTACTCCTAGTTTCCTGAGATCTAAAAATAGGGATTGTCTAAAAAAAAAAAATTCATACTCTTTGTGAATGATGAATGAAAAAGGGTTAAAAGGAACCTTTTTGGCCAGGCACGAAGGTGACTCATGCCTGTAATCCCAGCACTTTGGGAGGCAGAGATGGACGGATCACCTAAGGTCAAGAGTTGGAGACCAGCCTGGCCAGCATGGCAAAACCCTATCTCTACTAAAAATACAAAAATTAGCCAGGCATGTTGGTGGGCACCTGTAATCCCAGCACTCATGAGGCTGAGGCAGGAGAATCTCTTGAATCCGGGAGGCGGGAGATTGCAGTCAGCCGAGATCGCGCCACTGTATTCCAGCCTAGGCATGACAGAGCAAGACTCCATCTCAAAAAAAATAAAAATAAAAAGTTCCAGCCAGGCTGGTCTCAAACTCCCAACCTCAGGTGATCTGCCCGCCTTGGCCTCCCAAAGTGCTGGGATTACAGGCATGAGCCACACCGCACATAGCCTTTGAATCCTTTTTTTTTTTTGACAGAGTCTCGCTCTCTCACCCAGGCTGGAGTGAAATGGCGTGATCTTGGCTCACTGCAACCTCCGCCTCCTGGGTTCAAGCAATTTTCCTGCCTCAGCCTCCCAAGTAGCTGTGATTACAGACGCCCACTACCACGCCCAGCCAATTTTTTGTATTTTTAGTAGAGACAGGGTTTCACCATGTTGGCCAGGCTGGTGTCGAACTCCTTACCTCAGGTGATCCACCCATCTCAGCGTCCCAAAGTGCTGGGATTACAGGCATGGGCCACCACACCCAACCACCTTTGAGTATTTTTATTGTTAGCTTAGATAATTTATAACCAATGTTGGGGTTGTCTAAGTAATGAACATTGGGCTACTAGTTTAATGAGGAATACATAAAAGTAAAATGAAGAGATTTCTCAGGGAGCTCCCAATCTCATTTTCAAGAAATGACAAAATCAGCCAGAAGTGGTGGCTCACGCCTGTGATCCCAGCACTTTGGGAGGATTGCTTAAGCACAGAGGTTCAAAACCGGCTGAGCGACATGGCAAAACTCCATCTCTAAAAAATTACTCAGGGATTGTGATGTGCACCTGTCATCCCAGCTACTCAGGAAGCTGAAGCAGGAGGATCAATTGAGCTCAGAAGTTCAAGGGTGCAGTGAGCCATGACTGTGCCACTGCACTCCAGCCTGGGTGACAGGGTAAGACCCTGTCGCAAAAAACAAAAAAAGAACGACAAAATCGGATGGGTGCAGTGGAACATAACTGTAATCCCAGCACTTCAGAAGCTGAAGCAGGAGGACTTTGAGAGCAGTCTGGCAACATAGAACGACCCTACAAAAAAATTTAAAAAGTAGCCCAGCAAGTTGGTGCACACCTGGAGTCTCAGCTACTCAGGAGGCTGAGGCATGAGAATCACCTGAACCCAGGAGGCAGCGGTTGCGGTGAGCTGAGATTGTGCCACTGCACTCCAGCCTGGGCGACAGAGCAAGACTCCAATAAATAAATAAATAAATAAATAAATAAAAATAAGAATCATTTCTCTCTCTTTTCTTCCTTCTTAGGATGCTTTCATTGGATTTGGAGGAAATGTGATCAGGCAACAAGTCAAGGATAATGCCAAATGGTATATCACTGATTTTGTAGAGCTGGTGGGAGAGCTGGAGGAATAACATCCACTGTCACACAGCTCCGAACACCTTCAGATGGATTTTTACAAGTGATACAGGTTGATACTGTTTGCTTACAATTGCCTATTACCACTTGCTATAGAAAGTTGGCACAGATGATCTATACTTTAAACTACAGTTAGGACTCCTAGAAGATTGCTTTTTTTTTTTTTTTTAAATTGTAGTTCCAGTATTATATGATGACTATTGATTTCCTGTAGAGTTTTGTAATCTGAATTCTTTCTGTATATTCCTAGCTATATTTCATACAAAATGTTTTAAGGGTGGAGAGTCAAACAAACACCTTTACTCTTAGAAAGATGGATTCGGCAGCCTTTGGTGAATATTGGTTTCGCTTTGGTATATCAATAAAAGTTTATCCATGTGTCAGAATGGATTTGTGGAATTTGCAGTTCTGCCTCTTGGATATTGGAATACCCAATATTTCAGGTACTGTGTTGAAGCATAAACAGCCCCAGGCAAGAAACAGGCTTAAGACTCTGCTTAGTGCTGGGCACAGTGTCCTCACCCCATGAGCCCACTCCCACTTCCTGAAGGCCTGGGGCCTCGAAAGTCCTTTTTTTACTTCTTGGGATTTGTCATATATGAAATGTTACAAAGGGGTTTTTTTTTTTCCCCTCCAATATAACAATAGAGTCTTTAACAAAAGTACTGATTAAAAATGGATATTTGGGCCGGGCGCGGTGGCTCACGCCTGTAATCCCAGCACTTTGGGAGGCCGAGGTGGGCAGATCATGAGGTCAGGAGATGGAGACCATCCTGAATAACACAGTGAAACCCCGTCTCTACTAAAAATAAATACAAAAAATAAGCCGGGCACGGTGGCGGGCGCCTGTAGTCCCAGCTACTCGGGAGGCTGAGGCAGGAGAATGGCATGAACCTGGGAGGCGGAGCTTGCAGTGAGCCGAGACTGCGCCACTGCACTCCGGCCTGGGTGACAGAGCGAGACTCTGTCCAAAAAAAAAAATGATATTTGGGCTCACGCCTGTAATCTCAGCACTCTGGGAGGACAAGGTAAGAGGATCACTTGAGGACAGGAGTTCAAGACCAGCCTGGGCAACACAGCAAGACCCTGTCTCTACAAAAAATAAAAACATTAGCTGGGTGTGGTGACACGCACCTGTAGTCCCAGCTACTTGGTGGGCTGAGATGGGAGGATTCCTTGAACTCAGGATTTCGAGGCTGTGGTGAGCTGTGACTGCGCCATTGCACTCCAGCCTGGGTGACAGTGAGACCCCGTCTCTTAGGAAAAAAAAAAAAGGATATTCAAAAATCACATAAAGTAAAAGAAATAAAAACAAGTTTTACCAATCACAAAGGCCAGCATTTTCCCCTAAATGAATTAAATATTAATAACTTCTGTCAGCCTATATAAACTATTTCTTTTTTATAGATGACTTGGAAATACTTGAAAGCCAGGTTTACGTTTGTTTTGAGCAGAGCCAAGCAAGGGAAATTTCAGAACATGCTTTGAATGTGTGAGAGTCTATACCCTCCCTGGAAGAAAAATGGGGGGAGGGGAAAGCCACGGGGTTAGGAAGTGGATACTGTTGGATACTTCAGTAGAAAAAGCCATAAAGTTTTAATATTGAGAATTAGTGGAAAAATTTATCATTCAACCAAATTTGGCCAAATAAATAATTATTCAGCCACATAAGCAAATCAGATGAATCAAATTTCCTTCCAAATCAGTTTCTGAAGGGAGAGACATGAAATAGGTTTGGCAACATTTAAATTAGATTCCAAACAATGAGGCCATTCTTCCCAACTGTGAATGCCTCCTGGCCGCTCTCCTAGAAACTGTTTTGCGATGTTTGCACTTTTCAGCAGTGCCAAGCTCTGGGCAGGACCAGGCATGCCAAGACCTTGAAAAGTGCTGCAAACGGCGTCAGCCTCTGCACCGCTCGGTGCGCATGGCAGGGACAGGCCACTGGTGGGCGGGTGGGAGGACCGAGCCCCCACTGGTTTTCACTGTCTGACCATCACAGCTGCTACTGCCCCATGGGTTCTTCTTGCCCGCAGCCCAGATACAGCCCATTTCTCAAGACTGGGGAATTGCAATAGAGACAGAGATTAATTCATGCAGAACCAGCCAAACAGGAGGGCGGAGCTTTATTCTTACATCAATCTCCCCAAAAATTCAGAGGTTAGACTTTTTCAAGGATACTTCGGCAGGCCAGGGGATTCGCTTCTGGCTGGGGCCATGGGGTAGGGTGGGGTGAGGTGGTGGGGTGGCGGGGGTGGGGGCAGGAGGTCATCGGGTTCAGTTCGAGCCATTGATGGTCAGAAATGCAAAAACCTGGGCCAGGCACGGTGGCTCACGCCTGTCATTCCAGCACTTTGGGAGGCCGAGGCAGGCAGATCACTTGAGATCAGGAGTTGAAGACCAGCCTGACCAACACGGTGAAACCCCGTGTCTACTAAAAATACAAAAATTAGCAGGGCGTGGTGGAAGACACCTGTAATCCCAGGTACTTGGGTGGCTGAGGCAGGGGAATCACTTGAATCCAGGAGGCAGAGGCTGTTGTGAGTGGAGAGGTCACACCACGGCACTCCAGCCTGGGCGACAAGAGTGAAACTCCGTCTCAAAAAAAAGAAATGCGAAAACCTGAAAAGACATCTCAAAAGGCCAATCTTAGGTTCTACAGTCGTGATGTAACCTGCAGGAGTAACGGGCAGTTGCAAATCTTGTGCCTGCCTTCTGGAATAATAACTGGAAACGATGTTTATGTGTACACCTTGGCAGAATTTAGGCTTCTCGCATCCACCTAGCCTGGTGGTCTCTCACTAGCTTTATGAAGGCAGTTGAGTTTTGGGGAAGGGCTACTATCTTTTTTTTTTTTTTTTTTTTTGAGACGAGTCTCACTCTGTCACCCAGGCTGGAGTGCAGTGGCGCAATTTTGCCTCACCGCAACCTCCGCCTTCTGGGTTCAAGTGATTCTCCTGCCTCAGCCTCCTGAGTAGCTGGGATTACAGGTATGTGCCACCATGCCTGGCTAATTTTTTTCTGTGTTTTCAGTAGAGACGGGGTTTTACCATGTTGGTCAAGCTGGTCTCAAACTCCTGACCTCGTGATCCTCCCTCCTCGACCTCCCAAAGTGCTGGGATTACAAATGTGAGACGCCGCACCCCACCAAGCTATTATCATTTAAGCTATAAACTAAACGTCTCCCAGGTTAGCTTGGTCCAAGCCCAGCTATATGATTAAGGGCAGTTTGAAGGCTAAAGGCAAGATGGGGGATGGTTAAATTTACATCTCACTTTGTTAGAGTTTTTGCAGACGTGGTTTCATTTGTGTGTGTGTGTCTGTTTTTTGTTTGTTTGTTTTTGAGACAGAGTCTTGCTGTGTCATCCAGGCTGAAGTGCAGTGGCACGATCTTGGCTCACTGAAACCTCCGCCTCCTGGGTTCTCATTTTTCTTTTCTGGTCCATCTTTCACAAACATGCAAAGGTGGTTTCAGAGCACATCCACAGGGCTGTGGGCTGAACATAAGGTGGACATGAATTTGGGTCAGAGGGATCTGATCCCCTGATAAATACTGATGGCCGCATGGAACCCATTATAGGAGGGGCTGGTCCCACAGGCTGCCCAGCTCTCAGCAAACCACCCAAAAGCCGCTGTCTCAGACAATCCCTGCTTTGTTGTGTTGGAGGAGTGAGTTTGAAATTATGCAAGAACTGCACCAACCCCTTTCATACTTTTTAAATTCTGGACTCACTGGAAACAGCTACGGAACAGCTCTCCCATGAGTCACGCCCATGCCTACACTAGGATGGACTCAGGCATGGCTGACTGTCCGTGTGACGCCATTGTTCACTCCGATTATGAACACCGCTGTGTAAACAGAAAGAGCTAAGAATTGGGATCATGAAGCCAAGAGCAGAAATTTGTCAGGGTATTAAGGTGAAACAATAAAAGGCCTTTAAAGCTTTTATATACTTAAAAAAAAAAAATGACTTTATGCCCCCACCCACTCCATTCTCTCCTGGTTTAACTGCTGCTTATTTTTTATTTTTATTTTTTGTTGAGATAGGGTCTTGCTCTGTTGCCCAGGCAGGAGTGCAGTGGTAAGATCATAGCTCACTGCAGCCTGGAACTCCTGGGCTCAAGCGGACCTCCTTCTTTGACCTCCTGAGTAACTGGGACCACAGGTGCACACCACCACACCTGGCTAATATTTAAATTTTTTGTGGAGGTGGGGGTCTTGCTATGTTGTCCAGGCTGGTCTTGAACCCCTGGCCTCAAATGATCCTCCATTCTCAGCCTCCAAAAGTGTTGGGATTGTAAGTGTGAGCCACTGCGCCCAGACCTAACTGCTGGTTTAATGATTCTTCCATTTCTCTCTCTTCTACTGGAGACAAGTGTGTCTCCACGGCACCTAGGGAGGCCCCCTGGGGCTGCTGCTCCCAAGGGCAAGGCCAAGAGAGAGCCGCAGATTCCAGAGATTGGCCCCAGGAAGCAGTAACACAAACCTGATGGCCTTTGACCCTACGACCCTCAGAACCTTTATGAGCAGCTTCAGAAAACCTAACTATGAGTCACAGTGCTTATTTTCACATTTTGCAAGGTGTTTTCATGTCTCCTCATGTGATTCTCACAGTCCTAAGGTCAGCAGTATAGAAACTGCTGTCCTCGGGGCCGGGCGCGGTGGCTCAAGCCTGTAATCCCAGCACTTTGGGAGGCCGAGACGGGCGGATCATGAGGTCAGAAGATCGAGACCATCCTGGCTAACACGGTGAAACCCTGTCTCTACTAAAACTACAAAAAAACTAGCCGGGCGAGGTGGCGGGCACCTGTAGTCCCAGCTACTCTGGAGGCTGAGGCAGGAGAATGACGTGAACCCGGGAGGCGGAGCTTGCAGTGAGCTGAGATCCGGCCACTGCACTCCAGCCCCGGTGACAGAGCGAGACTCTGTCTCAAAAAAAAAAAAAAAAAGAAACTGCTGTCCTCTTTATTTATTTTTTTTGAGACGGAGTCTCGCTCTGTCACTCAGGCTGGAGTGCAGTGGTATGATCTGGGCTCACTGCAACCTCCGCCTCCCAGGTTCAAGTGATTCTCTTGCCTCAGCCTCTTGAATAGCTGGGATTACAGGCACCAACCACCATGCCTGGCTAAGTTTTGTATTTTTTACAGAGACTGGGTTTCACTATGTTGCCCAGGCTGGTCTCAAACTCCTGGCCTCAAGTGATCCACCCGCCTCGGCCTCCCAAAGTGCTGGGATTACAGATGTGAGCCACCGCACCTGGCCCTGCTGTCCTCTTTAACAGCTGGGAAATACCCTCACCAGAGTTAATGACAGCTGTGAGATCACATTCAGAGCTGGAACCTGAGGCAATGATTTCCATACCATTCTTTATCTTGTAAGTATTATTAGA